AAAGCATGAATCCATTTTTCCCTAGGTATGATTAAATATGACATTCTGAGTTTTTTTTAGTTTTGGAAGATAGTTCAACTTGAGTGTTGGGCAGAAGTATCCTTTGGTGTGGTTGTGCCCCTCGCTCCATATACTCTATAAAAAGTCTGTGGGAATAGACAAAAATTTGACACTATTTTTAAAACTTAAATTTTGAAATTGGAGGAAAAATTTCCAAATAAAATTTATAATTCCTGCATCTGCTGCAAGGAAGGTTAGTTCACTGCGTTGTGCCAAAAGATTTTTCTTATCAGAATCCATCTTGCACACTTATAAATCTACCATTCCTCTGTGTATTGGATACTGTTGCCATGTATGGTCTGGTGCTCCTACTGTGCATCTCGAGATTCTTGACAAAATCCAGAGAAGCTTTACAATTGATTCTGACCAGGCTACTCGTCTCCAGTCACTTTCTTACTGGCATGACAAGGCTTTCCTCTGTGTTTTCTACAAATATTTTCATGGCAACTGCTCAAATGAGCTTTTTTCCTGGTGCCCTGATTACAGGAATTTAAGCATGCTACTAGATTGGCAACTAGGTCCCACCATTTTACTGTTGAACTAGCTAAATGTAACTGCCACTTCTACTCTAACAGTTTTTTTCTCACACTTCCCACCTGTTGAACTCTCAAGTTCTTGCTTCCCTGATAACTACAATCTTCAAAAATTTAAATGCAACGTCAATTGCCATCTTCTGTCTTCTTGAACCCTGTTCCCCTTTTTTTTTTGTCCTTTCCTCAGTGTTCCCCATTTTCACTTCCTGTAAAACCCCTTGTATTTTAGTGGCTTGTTGCCTTGTTTGGGGATGAAACAATTTAAAAAAAATAAATGTCTTCTCAACATTGAATGTTGATAGTTTTAAGTTTGGTAGTTTAGTTTTTATCATCACTTACAGACACATACATTTTCCCCCTTTTGTTTAAAAATTAAGTTTTAACCCCTCCTCCAATAGATGATATGAACAATGTATCATGCAATAGCAATATTTTTTCTGCGTTCCTAGTTTAAGTTGGGGGCTACTATTTTCCAAAATTCTATTAACGTTAAATTTAAAAATGTAAGGAATACCACAAAGATTTAGAATGGCTTATGATAACTGCAGACCTCAGTGGACTGGACATACTGGGCATAAACGAAATACTTAGGTTCGTTACGGTTAACAATAGGTTCATTTCTCTGACCTAAAAGTTATCTTTTTCTTTGCAACTGAACAATGCTTCTTTAAGGTTTGGTAGGTTATTTGGTCATCGAAACTAGCTACTTAAATAATAATTATTTTTTTATAATTTTCATTGATTTCTAAGTGTAGCGTAGAGATCACTACCACCTAGTGAGGATCGAACTCGGTCTTCAGTAGTAAAGGTTAGACTAGCTCGCTATCCATTACCCCACCCCAAGCGTAATTTATTGATTTTTGTTATTACAGAGTAGTAAGGATGACTACGGACTTGTCGCCAAAATTGGACATCCCTTGTTGAAAGAGGAAAAAAAATTATCTTCAGTGACAGAGAAAGGCTTAATAAATTTTCATAAAATGTTAAAAATCATCACAAAAAAACAGCTTATGAATTGTAAAGTTAAAAGTTAAATTTTTTTTATATAAATATTTTTTTTACACTATTGAAACGGAGTTATATTTTTTTAATATTTTAACTTTGTGAGAAATCTTTGCCATTATAAAATTGTACAATCAATAGGTATTTTTTTACTTTTTGAAAAAAATCATGCAAAAAGGTTTTCATTTTAACTCAAACATTGTTTTTTTTTTTCTTTCGTTCCACACTGATTTCAACAATCGACTGTCAACATTAACAACAATTTAAGAAGAAAAAGCTATATCGGAGGTGTGTGTGTGTGTGGGGGGGGTTAATCTCTTCATTCCTCAAAGTTATTCTTTCTTTAGCTCCCTGCCTTCAGCACGCCCAGGAAACCCCAACTCTGTATTTTCTACGGGCTTTAATTGACTTTGCTCACTAAACTGTTTTTTTTTTGTTTTTTTGTTTTTGTTTTTTTTTGTTTTTGTTTTTTTTTGTGATGCTTTCATTGTTTCCTCCTTTCTTTTTACTAACTCCCGCCTCCTCTTTTTTTCCCTCGCTATTCATTTTTCTATCTTCTCTCCCTTCTTCGCGCGTTAAGATTGGTGAGTCACTAACGCAAACCCGCTTTCGTCTGTTTACACTCCCCTCGCCATGTATTGCTAACAACAGCAGCGGTAGCAGTTGTAGCTAAGTGAGAGAAAGATAATGATGTTTTTTGGTGGAATATAGTTTTAAGAAAAAGAATTTATTCCCAAGAATATATCAAGAGTTATAGTGGTTCAGTTAGATTTACGATAGAACTGTGACAACTGTGGGTGGGGCGTTGAATTGAAGAACGGAAAATTCTTTCTCCATCATAATTTGATTTTTGCAAATTCTTGTTACCCAGAATGCTATTCAAAGAGAGAGTGGGGGGGGATGCAAATAAATTTTTCAAAAATCCTTTTTTTTTTTTTTTCTCCACTTTCACTCTCTATGAGAGAGTTCAGAAGGAAGGGACGACCCCAAAACTAAAATGAAATATACCCATTTCGAGGTCTGCGAAGGGGTGGGGGCTTTTCGCTTTACAATTTTTACCCTGCCTTCCAAATGATGATGAGGTTTATATTTTCAACAACTTTTTAAATTATGTTAATATTAGTCATTCTATTCAACATCGTACTGATTAAAATGTTATTTTGAACTGCCTTTTTAGATTCATGGTCTGTCTTGTGGCGGAAATTGTTAAGTATTTTCCATCATCGATATAGTTTGGTGTCTGAGCCCAAGGTAAAAAAATCTGAGTTTTCAAATATTGTATGTCAGACACGTCTCCTATACTTGGAAGATTGTATTGCACCAATCTTCCATCTTACATCCCCCACACCATTTGGTTTTGTACCCAATCAAAGCTAAAATTATTTCATTAAACTTTCTTTTGATAGGGCTATAAAAGTTATTGTTGTAATTATTATTGTAGGTACCTCCAAAGAACAAGGTTTAGAATTGATTTGTAAAAATGAAAAATATTTCATGTTTTAGTTTTAATTTCAACTTCATAGGTTAAATTTAATATTTCCGATAAGCAAAATACTTTGCTATATTGCAAAACCAATTTAAATTAACTGGAAAGAATGGTTGATTTTAGCCATTTTTATTAAAAAAAAAAAAAAAAAGAGTCTTTTGAAAGCAAAATATATTTTCTGAAACTTTACTTGAGGAATATTAATTGATTTAAAGTTTATTTAATCTAATTTGAAACAAATATTACTTACTTTTAGTTTAAAATATTGCAGAAATACATTTTTAATGCCTTGTTTATTTAAGGTGTTGACAGATTGTCTGACAAATGGAAATTTAACCAAATTTTTCTGTGGGGAACTTATCTGTAAAAATTACTTGAGGAATATAACATGAGAAGAAATATAGGATACTCATAAGGACTGAAATCCCTAACAAAGACCTGCTAGCCTAGCTTTGTAACCATTACGCTATATGAAATGTACACAAATCTTTTGAATTCATCATTTTGCTAAAATTAGAATAATGTACGTTTTAGTCCTGTTTGTATTGTTTTGTCAAATTGAAAATTTAATTTAGTAAATGATTCAATTTGCTGAAAAACAATCTCAGTATATTTACATTATTTACACTTGTACTACTGTCCTCATCTTTGTTATTATCAATGTTTTGGCTGTTGTGTCCTCTAGTCATTTTCAGGGTAAGCAATAACTGACCAGTACTAAAACAAGATATCTTAAGACATAAAATGAGAATAATCTACCTCTATAGATTAAATAAAGAGTTTTGTTTAAAATTCCCTGAAGGTTACCCTGATTGACAGCCACCTTAAGAAGGCTGGAAGGCATATCGGCTGAAATGTTGTGATAATAACAAGTATCTTAGTTCAACTGTAAATAACTTTTTATCCAGAAAATTCAAACAGAAATACTTTTATGTGTGTGTATATATATATATATATATATATATATATATATATATAATGTGTGTGTCTTTTATTTACAGCCAATGAGATGGATAGCTGTAAAAGCAATATATCAAATTCATCATAGCTTTAAATAAAAAATCTTATGTTAAATAAGTTATACACTCTCAGCTGCTTTTTGCTTAATCTAAAATGATTCCATCAGTAAAATTTGATAAAGATATGACATCATCTAAATTCTGAATGATTGTAACTATTCTTTATTAAATTTTCATTAATTTGTCTTTAATCTTCATATTGATTAGAAAGGATATGGTTAGATGACTAAATTTGAACTTTATGTGCTGAATGGTCTCCATGGTTAAATGTCTAAGATATCAGACTGGTTTCCAAAATAAAGAGATGAAAGTTCAAATCTTCTTGGAAGCTAATGTTTTTTCTGATCTTTGTTGTTTATGCCATAGAATATAAGTTGTTGGATAAAGACAAAACATTAGCCAGTCAAAAATTTAAATAACTTCATGGAAAAAAAAAATGATTCAAATTACTATATTGTATTTTTTTTAATTCTGTTTTATTTTTCTTTACATTTAATTTAGTTGCCTACTAATTGTGAGTTCAATCCCTGTACCGAGAAGTACAGACTTGAACTCAATGGAAACAGGGTGAGCAATAAAAGTCCTAAAAATCAAAGAATAGATATCTCTAGACATGGACAGCAAAACAAATACATTCTAACTCCATAGATTAAATAAAGGGTTTGGTTTGGAATTCCCTGAAGTTTGCCTGGATCAATGGGAACCTGAAGAAGGCTGGGGGACACAACGGCTGAAACATAATAAAAACACAGATGTTAGTTTGAATGTAAATAACTCACCCAACTTCCGGTAGGCCTTGCAACCTGTTAGTTCAGAAGCATCTTTACATATTAAGGTCTTCTGTTAGTCTAAGTAGCAAGGTTGTATGCATCACTGACTTACTAAACCTGTTTGCATAGTTTACAACACCTGGTATTTCCCAGTAGTCACTCATCTGAGTACTGACCAAGCTCAATTTTGCTTAACTTCAGTGATTGGACGAGAACCAGTGTCTCAATGTGAAGTGTAAGTCTCTTCATTCTAGAAATTTTTTTTTTTTTTTTCAGGCTTTAAAGGAATTTTAGTAGGAATATGTAAGCATGTAAAATATATATAGACAAACTGTTTCGTTGTATCACAGCTCATCAGTATGGATAGACATGTGATTGCTTCAAGCTGGGATTGAACCATGACCAATTTGACATCAGTCAGTTTCTTACCCTTAGACTATCAGCACACACAGTGAAGAAGGAATATGTAATGCATTATATACAAGGTATGAGATAATGACATATTTTTATATATCAAGAAAAATATTTGGTAAATTGTATGACAAAGTGGAAAAAGTTTACTTGTGATGCATTTCATCCTTCAGGACTTCATCAGACTAAATTTATGTGGTTAGGACTACACATGCATGAACAAGGGGTGTTGGGTATTTTTGAATTTTTTTTATCTAGCTGAATTCATTTAGTCTTTTTTTACTAACAAAAGTGATGGAAAGAAAAGACTAAATGAATTCATCTAGATAAAAAAAAAAAAAAAAATCTAAAACACCCAGCAACCTTTGTTTCTGTGCATGTGTAGTTAGTTGTTCCAACATAATAAATTTAGTCCAATGAAGTCCTGAGTCATGAAATGTGTCACTAGTAAACTTTTTCCACAATTATATATATATATATATATATATATATATATATATATATATATATTTTTTTTTTTTTTTTTTTTTTTTTTTTTGATAAGTAGAAATAATTGCCATGGAAGTTTCATGTCATGTACAAAATTGAAATATTTTAGCATTAAGCAAAATCTTTTCTGATAGACTTCAAATTTAAACTACTGAAGATTTAAAGGTCTTTAGTTCAATCATGGATTTTGGCATTTGGAATCTGTCATTATTTATATTACCTTTTAGCAAACTATTCTCAAAAACTATTAATCTTATAGTGAGCTTAATGCTCACTGGATTCTCTAAATGTGGGGGCCTTGTGCTATACTAAGCTTAGCTTAGTATATTGATAGACTTAATATTTGCAAGATGTTTACACTGGTTCTTGGCATTTACTCAAGAAATGACTGGTTCTTCATAACAATGCTGATATATTTGCAAAGCATACTTAAGTAGATTTTTCAAACCTTTTTTTGTTTGTAAATATTACCTTTTTTATTTTGATATAATATTGTCTTAACTGTTTATAGAAAATAATACTTTGTTCATTTTTTTTCTTTTCATTAATTTTTCTCTGTAGAGTATTTTTCAAACAAATAATTATGTGATTATTTTATCTGATTAGCCTTAGTTATTTCAGTGGAATCCATTTCAGATTGAAAAATATTTTTAAGAATTTTTAATGATTTTGTTTACGCTCTGATTTGTGAATAGATTAGAATTTGAAGTCGGCCATATTAAAAAAGGCAAGTACACACCCTTAAAGTATTTAGTTCTTCCTCATAACATAATTTGTAATTGTTTTTTTCTGTCTTTTCTGATTGATTTTGTAGGTATATCAAAGGTGACAAAAGGAAAGACTTGTTCACTCAGGATTGTTCTTGTCATCATCTTTATCTTAATGTATAATTGTATGCAGTTACTACAGTGAAATATTTGATTTCTTTTTTCTTTTCTGGACAACTCAAGCAGGATGGGTTGGTTTGTGCTCAGACAGTCACATGTCATCTTTAAGCAAAAAGCTTTCATATTAGAGTATCTTTTTCTCCAAATATCTCAAATATTGATGTTTTAGCTACTTTATTTCAGATACATGAGTTGATATGTTACTTACACAAGGAAGATTGAATATTCTTGAGGTACATGATAGACGTCTTCCTCTTTTTTGGCCCCTGTTAGTGTAATGATAAAAATGTAATAATAACAAGGTGGAGTAAAACTAGTAAGAAAATAAATGTTGCATAAGTATAAAACACTAACTACAAATAATACAACAGAGCAACCCTACATATAAAATGGAATTCCCTTTGTCACATGTTATGTTGTTAATGAGTTAAGAGATATATATATATATATATATATATATATATATATATATATATATTATTATTATTATTATTATTATTAAGCAAAGTAATTGACATAGCTCTTCCAGTAATGTTAATCACTTAAAGCATGATTTAAGAAAAGAAAAGACAATGTTTAACAATATGTCAACAGACATACTAAGTGTTTTATTATTATTATCATTTCATTCCAAGCAAGGCAATAAAAGCCATTAGGATGTAAGGGGTTACTGAGAGTGAAAGAGACAGATAGGACAATAAAATAACAGGATCCAAGGAGACAGAAGATGACTATTGATAATGCATTTAAATTTTTGAAGATTGTAGTTGATAGGAAAACAGGAAGCTGAGAAGTGTAGAAGAAACCATTAGCATAGAATTTATGGTTACAACTAGCAATTTCAACAGTGAAATTCTGAGACCTAGCTGCCAATCTGGTACTGAACTTCAATTTGTGAAATTGAGGTACCAATGAGGGAAGCTCATCAGAACAATTACCTTGAAAATATTTATAGAAGATGCAAAGTGAAAATATATATATATATATATATATATATATATATATAGAGAGAGAGAGAGACTTTTAAAAAATTATATTTGAATAGACATTTTTTTTTTTTTTTTTTTTTTTTTTTTTTTTTTTAAATGTGTAAATTTATGTCTATTGGCTTATGTATTTGAGAATTTTAATAGAGTAAATGTACTTTCCAGTAGGGTTTGAACTAGCATCTCCCTTATAGAGGAATCCACCATCTTGCCTAGTGTGCTTTAGACAACATAGCCATGGAATGCTTTCACATCTTAGCAAGGTTCAATTAACCTTTGAAGAAATATTTATATAAGCCTTTTGTAGAAATACCTATATATGCTTTCATTTTTTCTCTATTTAACATTTATTATTTTGGTTACCATATTCTGTTATAAGATAAAAATAACAATGGTTCAACTAGTGATGGCAAGGGGTCCTGGACCCATCTAGTAGTGAGAATGCTTCATCTATATAAAAAGAAAATGTTGAGACTGTTATCAGTTAGTAAAACAAAGATAACAGAAGTAAAGAAGAAAGGGTGAGAGAATGACTACAGATTTGTGCTTCACTTAACCATCAAAGCTTTTGTGGCTAAAATGGTAAAGGCAATATCCATGAATAGTTGTCATTAGCATAAATATCTAGTTGGGAACTGATGACATTGGAAAGGTTATTGATAAAGATAATAAATAAAATAGGTCCAAGGATAGAGCCCTGGGTAACCCTCCTCCACACACAAACACATGAACTAGAATTGTGGCCTTCATTTCATGATTTGTTAGGAATGATTGGATTAAGCTAAATATTCATCCAGAGACACTATGGCCCTTTTAGCTTGTGGAGAAAATTCATATGGAGTAGATTGTTTTCTTAATCTATATTCTCCCATGTATATTTGAAAATTTTCATTTGAAATCAAAATGTGAACAATAAAAATAAAACTTTAAATTGACCCCATGAAGGAAATAAGTTAAAGACTGAGTTCACAAGCAATTTAGAGCTCAAACTTCAGAAAGGTGTGGGTGGCCTGTTTAACTGCATGAAGAATTTGAATAATCTTACTTATTATAAAACGCAGATTGTGTGTGTGTGTGTGCGTCTGTACGTTTATATATTGGATCGGATTTCCTACATTTTTCAACCGATTTCAACAAAACTTCACAGGACTACATAAAATTACCTTGCGGTGGTTCTGACAGTGCCAAAAATTGGAAAAACACAATGAATGAAATCAATTTGAAAACACACGATAAAACACGATTCTGTCGCCAGAATGAAAGTGGGACAACTCATATTGAGTTATACTTATTATAAAACCCAGGTTGTTTGTATGTGTGTTCGTTTATATATGGGATCGAATTTCCTACATTTTTCAACCGATTTCAACAAAACTTCACTTTTTTTTTTTTTTTTTTTTTTTTTTTTTGGTAGTGTTTCTTATTGTCTTGCACACTTTTTTCTTTATTTTTTACATTCAGAATGCTTTAAAATTCCATTTACAAGACAATTGTTTATAATAAAATTCTATTCAATCGGTAGACTCATAACGATTGAAAACAATGTTTTTGTTTGGGTTTGACCAATTCGTAAAAAAACAAAAAAAAAAAAACAATTTGTGTCCGTCAACCTTAAGCAATAATCTTTGTCAATTTTATTTTTCAGTCTTTATGATGGTCGATACTTGATCTATCTCTTACTGTTACATCCCCGGGCAATGCCGGGCTCTACTGCTAGTTCATAATGAAGCTGAAACAATATGTGTTTATTTAACATTAATAACAATTATGGGAAAAACATGAATACACTTTTCACTTCAGCTAACTAACAGGGCAATTAGAGCTCTTTAGTTATGTAAGATAGACCCACTTTGGCATCAGGCTAACATCTTGATCTTGTAAAAATTCATAAATGCTACAATGATTGAGATGCTATGAATCATTTGAGTAATGCTTGATGTATTGTTTGAATTGGCAAAAAACTTGACAACTTCAGGCATTTTTAAGATCTCTCACATTGTTGGGGAATCATAAAAATTGTGATTACCTGACAATTTAAAAAAAAATCTAAAATTATAAATATAAAAATATATACTAGAAATTTTTGTATCAGTTTAATAATAAAGATGTTTCTTTTTTTAAGTAATAATAATAATAAAATTGTGATTTTGTGAAATAAATGTATATTTTTTAAAATTTATCACCATTGTTATCATGAGGGCTGAGGATGCAATGGTTAATTTTAAGCAAGAACATAAGCAGGGGTGGATTGTGTTGTTTTTTTTTTTTTAAGTTGAGTAAGGGGTTACACAAAGACTCGAAGCAACAGAGATATGGTTCTATAGATAGATACTGAGAATACCATTAACAAAACGTGATCAACAAGGAAGTTCTAAAGGAAAGTGGGTGGCTTAAGGCCATATGGCGTTGAAACACCGGTTCCTGTACAATCACCAAAGTTAAGCAATGCTGAGTGTGGTCAGTACCTAGATGAGTAACTGTTTGGGAATACCAGGTGCTGTAAGCTTAGATGTGCAGCTCATATAATGGATAATAGCTAGGAATTGTTAATTGGAGAGCTGAGTTCCAATTCCTGTTGGGTTTGTTATATTCACTTATGTGCAAATACCCTTGGGAAAGGTATGAATCCCAAAGCTATGGGTTAATTAGTAAGACTTGTATCACTAAATCATTATCTGGAGAAAAAAAATTCTTACACTTTAAAAATATTTTTTGGCTTTAAATAACCTGCAAATGTTGATTTCCATAAATAAAGATGGGAACTAAAAAGACCCTCATATTCAAAATCTAAAAGCAATAGTTGAAGTTTTTGGGATACATTAAATAGAAGGTTTGCTTGGAAAACTTAATATTCACAGGATGTATTGAGAGAAGGGATAGAGGTAAACAGCAATTACCTTACTTAATATGTTTGTGTTGAATGGATGTGTGAGTGTTGTGTGAACAGGGACAAAGAAGGATGGTAGTGTGTCAAATGTTGTGTAGAGCTACAAGAGATAGTAAGTTGTGGGGAGTCATGATTACCCACATCCCATTATTGATGAAATGGTTCCAACAGTTCAAACCTACTTTCTCAACTTCCATCCAGTGGCAAGGTAAGGTCCAGGATAGTTGAACCTTACTAAGCTACATTTACAGGGAACAACCATACCAATCTTATGATACAAGGAATACTCTTCTTGTGTTTCATGATATAAAAAGGGACATCCTAGAGAACCCAGTCTGTGCTGCTATTTAACTCATTGCCGGGGTGAGAAGAGATGGATTCATGTTTTTCTCAAGGATATTAATGTGAAGTGAATCCAATTGACTCTGCTGGAATTTGAATGAAGTTTGCTAACACCACTTTCTGTGTTGATAACTAGGCTTACGGCCATAAAACATTGAAACACTGGTTTCCATGTGATCACGAAAGCATCAAACTTGGTCAGTACCCCAATGAGTGACTGCTTGGAAATACTAGGTGCCATGAGCTTGTGCAGGTGGTATAATGGTTAGAAATTGTTAATCATAGAGCTGAGTTCAAATTCCTGTTGGATTTGTTATATACATTTACAAGCAAATACCCTTAAGATGAATCAAACTCTTCTCACAGATATGGGTTAATCAGTAAGACTTGTATCACTAAATTATTATCTTAAAATTAAAAAAATGTTACAATCTAAAAAATATTTTCTGGCTTTAAATAACCTGCAATGGGTTGATAAACCATAGAAAATTAATGAATTAATATGTGCTGATAACTGTTTTTTTTTTTTTTTCATTTTATGTGATTTAACCATTTTCTGGCATTGAATTATTCTGGATCTTATGATCTTTGGGGAAATTTTTTTAGAGATATGATCATTAAAAAAAAGATCCACTCTGACAATAAAAATCAAAAAATTGATTCCTGCTTTGTCATTTTTTTTTTTTTTATCTAAGCAGTTTTCCCTCCCTCTTGTCAGTTATTTTTCTTTCTTCAAAGAATTTTGATAAAAGAATGTGCTTATATATCATTCTATTTCTTATTTTTCTAATTGTGTTTGTGTGTATGTTTATGTATTCTGAAATATAAATCTTTGGTTTTTGTTAAGTTCTTTTCTTTAGCTACCTGTCTATTTTCATTATACCATCTCCTTGTCTTCAACCTTCTCAATTTCATTTTTTCTTCATTTACCATTTTTTTCCCTTTTTTGACATTTTTGTTTTTCTTTTTACTCCATATTTTATTTTATTAAACTTACTTCTTTTCCACTTTATTTTTTTTTAAGCAAGCCTTTTGAAACATTTTTCATTTTGGGTTGATTTTTTTTTTTTTTTTATAACTTGTTTTCTTCGTCTTTCTGTTTTTCTTTTCCATTTTATTTCTCTGTTTATGTTTTCCTTTTTTCATTACTTTTCTGTTTTATCTTATTTTCTCCCTATCACCACTGACATTATCTTTTTATTGATTGAGAAAAATTAATCTCAACATGTTTTCACTGATTACATTTCAAAAGATTCTTCAGCTTCTAACTTTCAGTTTAAAATTATTTTACAACAACAAAAAGAATGAAAACTAAACAAAGTGAAACAAAAGGAACTAAAAATAAAAAATGTGAAAAAAAATTTTTTAAGCACTCCTTCTACTTGCTTTGTTTTTGATTTTTCTTCAGATAAATGTTTTCCATTTTAAGCATGTTTTTAAAATACATTGAATAAATTTAATGTATTAGTTTTATATTCTTTTAATAAGATTATTTGACATTGTGTCCAAACACTTGAATAATCATTAAACTGTTTTGGTTAATTTCTTGATTACTAACATAATTATAAATAAAATATAATCTAAAAATGAAAAAAATTGTCCAGTTGAACCTCTTTTTGAACAATGTAGCATAATTTAGTTTAACACAATTTAATATCAGCAGTAGTTGAATTTCTTCAATGAAGCATTGTAACCATTTTTTTGTCTTTCATCTTATTTTTTTTGTATTTGATTGCATCTTTGTTGTTATTGTACAATTGTTAAATAAGTAGCATAGATCAGAGAGAAAAAAAATCCAAAAAACATGAAATTTAAACTTAAATTTCTTAACCTTGTAAACCTGTTTTACCATGACAGTTCCTTACCTGTTGGTTCAGGTCTGCACAATTAAAAAAAAATATATGTGAAGGGCTACATTGCAGGAAATTAGCTGTGGGGTGCAAATGTAAATTTTTAGGGTAAATTACTGAGTATGAATGTGATAGAAATAAATATATGCAAATAGGGATGCTGATAAAATTCTTTTTTTTTTTTTTTGGGCTTACGGTCACAACGCTGAAACATTGGTTCCCATATGATCATCAAAGTTAAGCAACCTTGAGCCTGGTCAGTATCTAGATGGGTGAATGCTTGGGAATACTAGCTTGGATGTGGTGTTGTAATGGATTCCAATTCATGTTGGGTTTGTTATATTTGCAAATCTGAAAATACTTTTGGGAAAGGTATGAATCCACCTCTTCTCTCCCAGCTATGGGTTAATTAGTAAGACTTGTATCACTAAACCAATTATCTCTCCTTCCCACCAAGAAAAATTCTTAAAATCTAAATTAAAACTATTTTCTGGCTGTAAATAATTTGCAAAGGGTGGATAAATAAATGAATCAATCAACAATCTTTTTCTATTGAGTGTTAAATGGACTAATTTTCTTGCTCCCCCTATCTCTCTCTTATATATATATATATATATATCTCATAGTAATTTACTCTAAAACTTTACTTGTCCTGGATAAGACGATAATCAACATCTGGCAGCAAGGCCCATGATTGAGAGATTGGAGATTTTGATGAGCATGGAACCACCTCCTAATTGCTGTCATTCCAAGGTCTACTCTAACTCGGGGTGGTAGCACCTGTTAAGGTCTCAGCTATGGGCAAATAGTGAATCCCAACCCAAAAATCAACAGTACATTTTCATAATAACATAACTAACAATACATTTTTATAGCAAAATGACAATCAATACAATACTAAAAAAATATAAAATACATTTTTTATAGTAAAATTACCACCAATACATTTTATCTAATATATCTAATATATCTATATAAAACCTACCTTTACTCTGAAAGTATAAAATTGTGTTCAAAATATCTGTAGTTGAAAGCATAAAATTACATACAAAATATTTAGGTTTTGGCATAATAAACCAACCAACCAACATGAAAGAACTCTTTCAGGACATTAGTCTATATAATATCTTATGATTTCTTAAATCAAACTGTAATCAAAAATATTCTGTTATATAATCAACTGTTGGCAAATAGTGATCCTCTCGAAAAAAACAAAACACTATGAAAGTATAAAAATACCAGCATTTCACTTTACATACATATATATATATATATATATATATATATATATATATATATATATATATATATATAACAATACCAACAATACATTTTATCTGTAGTTGAAGACATACAATTGCGTTCAAAATAACTATTTACTTTGTGGAATAGACTCCTGAGAGGATACCTCCTTGAACATTCCAATCTTAACCTTTTCAAATTTAGTCAACAGTTACCTCTCTTTGTTCATAATCTTTACTTCTTACTTCCTCCTCTTTCGGCCATACCCCCCCATTCAGTAACCCTCTACATTGAGTGGCTCTTGGTCCTTGTTTTGAGAGAACAATAGTAAAAAAAATTTAACTTTTAACTAGTATTTCTTTCATCTTATTTCCAATCTGTAATATCTTCTTTTTATTTACAAAGGTATGTTCATTTGTTATAACCTGTTAGAGAAGGATTTTTAACATTTAAAAGCTAAAAGAAATTCCCTTATGACTATTATTTTGTTTTTGTTTCTGATTATTATGATGTATTGTACTAACAAATAATCTGAGGCAAATATATATGAAATGGTGACACTTTAAAATATTTTATAGAAAAGAAATCAGAAAGAATTATCAGCATGGAAAATGGAATTAACAAGATTTCAAATTCTGACCAAGTGTGTGGCATTCACTTTCACACTAATGCCCTTCAGAAAGATACAAACCCATATCCTCCTCCTCCAAAGCTATGTGTTAAATACCAGAGTAGACTGAGTTCTCAAGCTTTGGTTGGCACTCTAAGACAAGGACCACTCTGAATTCAAAACTGGAGAAGGCAACAGAGAAACCACTTCATTTTGTCAAGATGTCATGACAATTCAGATAATAAAGTAAGGGACTCTGTGGAGAGCTATGATCACCCATATGAACGCTCCATTGACTTTTTTATGTACAGAATTTAAGTCTTAGCAAATCTTAAAATTTTGCTACTGATTTAAAATATGAAACAACTGTTCAGAAATAGTATATCTCAATCCTATGGAATTTTGCAATTTCAAATTTAATACAGGTTATATCAAAGTATATATAAATGTTTGCTGAAAACTTTCAAGCCTAACCTATTTCCCAAAATTTGACCAAAAGATTAAGCATAAAAAAGAGGAAAAGCTTCTTAATCAGGCTACTAAGTTTATATACAAAACTAGTTTTAAAAAATGATTTATATTTTTTGTGTTAGATCTATATCCATTATGCATTATTTGAAAATGCCATTTAAATTTAGTAATAATTTGTTTTTTGTTTTGTTTTTTTGTTTTGTTTTTTGTTTTTTTTTTTTGTTTTTTTTTTTGTTTTTTTGTTTTGTTTTTGTTTTGGTTTTTGTGTTTTGTTTTTGTTTTGTTTTTGTGTTTTGTTTTTTGTTTTATGTGTTTTGTTTTTTGTGTTTTGTTTTTTGTGTTTTGTTTTTTGTGTTTTGTTTTTTGTGTTTTGTTTTTTATTTTGTTTTTAAACTTACTTTATAGTAACCCTAATAGTAGGGTTTTTTAAATTATTAGTGAGAGACAGAAGTGATTTGCTTTTTCTTCCCTTCTTCTGGAAGCGAATATAATATTGCTTAACTTAAATGATAAAACTGAGTATTTGAATGTGCAATGTATGGTAATGAAAATACCATAATATATTTTTTAAAATTTATAACTGATGATTTTGTGTTCAAAACCTTTTATATTTTTAACTGATTTTATTTTATTTACACTCTGACTATTGTCAGCATCTTTATTGTTTATAACATTTCGGCCATCAGATTAATTTTAAATTGAACTTTTTATTTAATCTATGAGGGTAAATTATTCTTGTTCCATTGTCCATGTCCAGGGATATCTTGTCTAGTTCTTATTTGGTACTGCTCAGTTATTGATCACCATGAGTCCAAGTACACACTACCCAGCCTAGGGATTTTTTAAAAATATTTAATTATAAAATAATTGTTTGTAGTGTTATTTTAGGCAAGTTGGTAGGATAATTTTTATGTTTCATTGTAGACAATGCATGATTGATGGAAAAAATACTTTAACATTACATTTTCAATTTTTAAAAATATTGCTTTAGACAGATATTAAAAAAAACCTTCTATTGTTTGTTATCTGACAGTTTTATTGTTTTGTCACAAATACTAATCATTTTTATAATGTGATAGAAAACAAAAAGAGTTCTCCTAATATTATTTGATATCTTTATTCTGTGTTATTTGTTATTTTTAAAATATTATTAGGAGTATTTCAAAGTGCTTTTTAATGTGGTAGAAACTCATTTTTCATACTGTCTTCTGCTATGCTGAAAATCCCAAGAATTTTTGTAATATAGTAAAAATTAAAACATTACTGCATATTCTATGATTTTGAAAGTCTAAAGAATGTTATCATCAAAGATAGAAAAAAAAATCTTTTTTGCATTTTAGAGTAATGAACTTTTAAGTAAAAAAAACCTTTGTATAAGAAAATTAATCTTTAGGATTTTTTTTTCAAGTAGGAAGTAATTCAAAAAGTGTATATAGGATTTCAATTTCTTTCCTATTTATACATTCCAAATGTTTCTCATGTGAATTTCAGACATTGTTAACTAAGCAACATTTCTTTTCATCAATTTTATGAAAAGAATTTAAAACCTATTTTCAGCCTCTTTTGTTTTAAAAAAGATCTTAAATTCTTAAAATAAAAGTAATTCTTGATAGCCACTTGCTTTCATAAAACTAAATGGTTTATGTGATTGAACATTTTGAAGAGAAATATTTTGCAAAATTAATTATGAATTGTTTAAAAAAATGATCAAATTACAACAGTTGATTTATTCTTTCTATGAAATCTACATTTTCTACTTTTCTGCATTCTGTATCCTACCAATGAAATTGTTTATGTACATTTCAGTAAAAATTCCATTGAATATGTAAAATGATCCCCTCTTAACATGGAATCTCTTTCTTGATTAAGTGATAGATAAGTAGATATATGTTGGATTGAAATTTAAAGTGTAAGATTCAAAATCTGATATAAGCAAATGTTAAATATATAATGCTTGAAAATTTGCTTTTTTTTTTTTTTTTTTTTTTTTTTTAAATGTGTGCATAAAGTTAAAAATTTAGGATTTCTAATAGAAAAAATCCTATCATAATTTCCACAATCAAAAATAAAATCTATGCTTATGTTAGACTCAGAATAATTAATAACTTTCACTAATTTTTTTTTTTTTTTTTTTTTAGGCTTTTTACCATAGAGGTGTTGAGCTCAGAAAAACAAAAAAATTATCAATATTATTATATGGGTAAAGAAATAATCTGTTTTAGATGTTATTATATTGGTAAAGTGGTAATGTTTTAGGAAAAATCAAAATAATTTTAAAGTTGAAATATGCATCCTTGATATTGTTACAATCTGTTTTGGTAGTTTATTTAATAAAAAATCTAGCCAAAGTGGAATATAACAATTTAAAAATATTCATAGAATTTTTGTAGAATTCATCCATTTGCAAAATCTTAAAGTTTCTTATTGATTTAAAACCTAAAAACTATCTGTTCAAACATAGTATAAACTCAAACCTATTAAATTTAGCAATTTTAAATTTAACACTGAATATGTTATAACAAATTATATATAAAGGAGTACTGAAAAGTTCTCAGCTTGACCATCTCAAAACCTGACCATTTGACCAAAAATTTTTTTTTTTTTTTTTTTTTTTTTTTCTTTATAGTAGGGAAACAAATTTCTTAGGCCAAGAATTTTTCAGCATCCTCTCATATAAGAAATCTATGATTTTCATAGAACATAGAAACAATGAGCTTGGGTGATTATTTTGCTAACAATTTCACTTTGGTGAAAAAATTTAAGAAACTAGGATCCTTCCTACAAAATAATGGCAAAGCATACTGATAGTTCTTTACTAAGTGCTCCATAAATATAAAAAATATTTATATTCGCATGAACATCTTTCTATTTAAAAAGTCGGAAGATTACATTGAATCTGTTAGTTCTGCTGCTAGGAAAGTTGGTGTTTTTTTTTTTTTTCCTTCTAATCTCCTTTTTTTTTTCCTGATC